GTACAGTAAAAACAAACAAACAAACAAACAAAAAAACATATTTACGGTAACTTCTTAGCGATTTCTTTCTTTCTTACATCATCTTGCACATTTACAGTACACATTTTTCAGTCCCAATATAATGCATCTGTCATAAGATGGCCTTAAGCTTAAGATAATTTCTTTTATAAATTAGCCTTATGCTTAACATTTTAATAATTTTTCACAAAATAAAAAAATTACCTCAGAGGACCCTTTCCCCTTTTTAATTAGTTTTCTGCCAAAAGTGAAGCATTGATTTCAGCCACTCTTAACCTGTAAACTCATTTTTTTTAATCCTATTTTTAGTTGTTGTTTCAAAGATCATCACATAAGCCTTTTAAAGAAACCATCTAGAGTTTTATTGTTCCCATGGTCTACTGACTTGCAGAGAGCTCTGCACAGTCCCTCTTCACATCCAGACCTCAAGGATGTGGAGTCTGATGGTTTTCTGCCTGTAGGGGGCAGCACCTTCAAGAGAACTCTGCTGTGCTACAGGCACCTGCTGCAGCTCAGGCCATGTTTGAAACATGTCTGCTGTAAAAGTTTCAGCGCTTCTCCACAGAGTTTTAATAATTGTGCATTTGTAGATTAAAGAAAGAACATTAAAAGATATTTTCTGATAGCTATTTGAGTATTATTATGGTGTAGCCTCAGTTTGTGACCGCAAATGTAAAACTCTCTTTAGACTTAATCTGTTCAAGGATAAAGCTAAATAAAAAAGTCCTCTAATGTGTGATTTGTTTGACCTTTAAGCTTTAACCTTGAATGTGTAATCTGCACACTTCTTCTACGAAGCCCTACACTTTTCAAATGCGGCACCAACGCTCTAATTTTAGGTTAGATTTAAAATAAAATTTTTCAAAATAAAAAAGACACTGAACAAAAAACACAGGTAGGACTACATTGCAGAACATATCTTTTGTAAAATTGTGGGATATTTGCATGTGCTAAAAGGTCCAAAATAAAGAAATTCAAAAATACAGATATCCATGAGGAAGTTGTAGAAAATCCAGCAAAAATGATGATCAATGACAACTATGATGATGAAAGTCTTGATGATGATGATGATGATGATGATGATGATGACAATAATTGGGATGATGGCAGTGATAATGAGTATTATTATAAAATTACACTGATCATTAAATGATAATAATGATAATGATGATTATTACTAAAGCGATGAAAGTGATATTATTCAAGACAAAACCATGGGGATGAAGATGAATCAGAATAATTGTTACCATGATGTTGAAAAACTATCAAAATGGTGGTGACCACTGTGATGATGATAATGATGATGATGATGATGATGATGATGATGATGATGATGATGATGATGATGATGATATTGAGATAATAATGCTACATATAGTATATGAGATAAGGATTATAATGAAAATAATGAAAATTGTGAAAAGAAAATAATTTTGATGATTTTTTTTCAACCATTAATTATCCAAAGTGATGATTGATGGTGCAGTAAAGATGACAGTCAGAATGGCAGTATTGATGATGATGAAGTTGATAGAGATAGATATTTTTCAGCAGTGTTTTAGGACTCAAGAAAAGGATTAGGATTAAGATTAAATTTAAACGTTCTTATTGAAGAACTAGTTCTTTGTTTTATGTGTTCATAAACAAACAAACAAACAAAAAACAACAATACACAGTTTAAGCTTTCAAAGAAAGTTAACTCCCTGGCTGCATGTATTTCTTTTTGTATTCATTATTTTGAGTATTTATTAAGTTTTGGCACACAGCTCACTTAGTCAACAGTGTTTTCTTGCAAAACAAAGTTTTCTTTTGTTGTTTAAATATGTGAATTGTATTCAAATGAACAAAAGTTGTCGGGTGATAAATTTTAACCTTTTTAGATTGTCCATTTCTTAAGAACCTCGTCCCCCCCTTTTTAGACTCTTTAGGCTTCAAAGAGACAGAAATGTGTTACATGGCGTCTTTGTTTACTGAAGGTTTCTCTCTCGCTGACTGATGGACCTGTTATGTAATTAATGTTGTGATGCTCTCTGAGGGGTCCTTATCTTTGCTCCTATCAGCTCAGAGGATGATGGGGATGATTGTGAAGATAAATGTTAGTTTTTGAAACAAAAACACATTTTAGGAGGAGATTTTAGGACAGAAATACATGTTCAAAGCGAACTGGGCAGAGGAACAGTGCAAGGTTCTGCATTCCTGTTGAGTAATCTTAGAGTAAGAGGTGTTACACCGAGTGTGACACAGTTTCTGCTTTCAGCAGGGCCGGCCTTGTTTATCCACTCTGCGCTTTGGTCGGCGTTTCAAAAAAAAAGCCCAAAAGTCTCAGGCGGCATCGCTTCCCAGGCCCCCCTTGGGAGGAGCTTTTGTCCGGGGCCAGGAAGCCTCCCCAGCCCGCAGGTATAGAATGACACACCTTTCTATGCAGAGACCTATAGATGTGAGCGAGGCGAGGAACACCTGAACGTCCAGAGAGTCAGAACGCTGCTCTGATGAATTTTACATTCACACTCTTCTTTGTAGTTTGTGCTCGGCCGTGTTGCTGCGACAGGTGGGACACTTTAACAAATGAGCTGAAGGGGGAAGGTACGAGTCTGAGTGCACCCCCACCCTTCAACCAGTTATAAACCCAGCTTACCTGGAGCAGCATCCGCACCTGTATACCTAACCAGAATTACGGTTCAACACACTCCTCTCTCTATCAAACCTTTTACATCTGAAGGGGCTGTAGTCAAAGTCATTGATGACGGCATCTGTATAGACACCACAACTAGAGTTTCATTAAAGGACTTTTTTAGTGGTTGAGCCAGAGTGACACTGATAACGACGCCTCCTTATGACAGCACTTAGTCTGAACATTTGATGCTAATGATGCTTAAAAACCAGTCGGGACCAGATGAGACATCATGCTAATAACAGTTGTTCTCATTATGCTCTTTTGTTGCAGGAGTTATATCTCTGCTGACATAAACTGTTTGTTTGATACGGCTACATCAATGTTAGTTTTTATTTATTTATGAATAAATATATATATATATTCTTAATTAAAAACCTTTTGACAACTTCTTGTGGGTCCACACCCTGGTGATCAATATCTAGTACTACAACTCTAAGCTTTTGAAAGAGTACGAACTGGCTTTGTGTCATTATGAGCTACAGACCCAGATGAGACATCATTAATAAGGCTGATCATTTCTTCTCGGTATTATTTAGTAAACATTGTTATCCTTCCTCCAGTGTTAGCTTTTATTACGCACCCACCATGTTAAGGGTCGGTTTTGACCCATCAGCTGCAAATTACACTAAAAACAATTCTCTATCATCCAGTTTGGTTCTTACCTCTAGGTTACCTTGTTAGGCTTCATTATCCATGAAAATTTTGCTTATAATTTTTTTGTAGTGGTCCTCTGGGTCTTTCTTTGTCAGTATTCCCCTCACACAGACATCTATGCTGAATTGATCTCACATGTCTGGACATGCCCGATGTTTTTTGTGCAGGAAAAAACATGGAAAAATGAGAATTTCTTAAATCTCACATGATTGGAAGAGGATCTGATTGTCAGTGTGGTGCCTGACAGTGCACTTATGATTTCAGTTTTTGCTCTAATTATTAGATATTGATCTAACTGGGTCAACAGCAACCCTAACACAACCAGTGCCATAATTTTACTAAGAGCATTTTATAATAAAGTTAATTCAATTTTTTTATATTTATTTTGTTAAAATAGAAGTTTCTGACAAAGTCAAAAAGTTTTGATGCAAAAAAGCTAATTTAAGTGTTTCTTTCAAGCATTTACAGTCAAAAACGGGTCGGTGCAGACCCTAACACAGGAGGAGGGTTAAGGGGAAAGAGTCACTCAGACACTGCTTTTTAAATATTTGTCTCATCAATCATCTCTAATGGATGATGTTCTTGACTCTGACAGAAAGCCTGATGATGTTTTTTCTTGTTAATATTCAGGGCAAAATATGTCAAAAAGTAGGAGTTATTGTTTTGTCCACAGGGGGCGCCAAGATCAATTCAAACCAAAGTTCCTCATGGGAGCTTTAAATAGTCCAAAATTATCTTCAAGTATTTGCCCTCAGAGGTGGATAGAGGTGTGAAGGAAAGAGTTACAAAATATGAGAAACTAACTACTAGTTTTTCAGTGCTATCCTGATAATACTTGGAAAACTGTGTCGATTACAGACCTCTTTCTTCTGGCTGACAATGTTCCACTAATGCTGGGCCATTACTAAAATTTTGTTTTTCTCAGTTAACTTTTACTGTCATTCTTTTTTAATTAATTAGAAATGCAAAATATTGTACACATGAAGAACCTCAGCACACACTTTGTTAAAATGTGTTTTATAAATTGACTAAATGTTTCTTTGGCATTGTTAAAAGGTGATGGTACATTATCAAGTACCTCACATCCCCAGATAAATTCAATCTGACGAGAACAGGAATCTTAATATCACTTCTACCATCAACAATGTATGTACTGGATTAACTCGCACCTCCTGACAGACAGAAAAGTCCTGTGATTTCTGCTGTAGTAAGACTTAATGTTTGAGCTTTTAGAGGTTTGAAGTCAATAGTTCAAACTGGATTATTTAATCTATGTTGTTCCAGCGGCTCTCAGCAGATCTGTTTCCATGAACGTTGTATCCTGAGACATTCTCAACAGCTTCCGTATCCATCTGTACTGTGTCAGCCGTTATAACTGTTATAATATGTGCTTATAAAGAGGATATTTTTCAGCTACTAATAAAGCATTAATGTGGTGTGAATTCATGTTTTCCACAGATGTGTTTGTTCTGGTTTTAAAGGTCGGATATGATAGAAATCTTCCTCTTTGTTTCACCCTGGTCCATCATAATAAGATCAAGCGACATCTCGTGACATGCACATCCCCGACTTTATCTCTCTGCTAAACCACAAAGTATTCTTGAACAGAGAAAAAAAAAAAATCAAAGAGCAGTCAGGTGTGTTTTCGGGTCAGTACCTTTGTGTTTTATGTTGGAGCCAGCTGGTGAGTGAAAACAGACAGAGACATCAGTGAAATACAGAAATAATCTTTTCAATAACTTACAACACAGGCACCAAATAAATATTCATATCATTAGTAAAATATAAAAAGTACATCTTTGAGTTTACAGACAGTAGACTATCACAGTGTCCCTTTGCTTCTCAGACGTGTTCAGACCATAAGAAAAGACCATTTTTACAGCATTTTCCAACATTTCTGATGAGAACGTGGACCAGCTTCATCACGCCTGTGCTTATATCATCCTCTAGACTATCTCAGCAGGGTTAGCCTGACCTTTGTTCCTGCTATTTCCAGGTACTCCTGGCTGACTTGCACCTTCTTTGATGACTAAACCAATTTGACTGTATCTATCACACTTATGTCTTATTAACTCCCTCACTAGTAATGTAAAGCCATAATAGACATATTTGGCTGTGGTTTCATGACAATAAACAGACTGAAGTGATGCTGCTGTAACTTTATCAGGATGTGATTTGGTAAAAAAAAACAAAAAAAAGTCTACTTCAAGGTTCGTTCAGTTTGTCTGCAAACTCTGAGGACATCTTTAAAATCTATATGCTTGTGAGCTTTTGTGACACAGCGTCATAAAACGTTCTTGCTTGTTTCCTTAAATTTGCACGGTTCATGCTGTCCTTTTTTTGCATGACCGCTGTGGCAGTGTTTGTCGTCGGCTCTGTGCTTAAAAAAAATGATCTTTTCTCTTGATCTGAACAAACCTTAAATGTGAATCAGCCAAAAAGTGCTTCGCTGTGTAAAGTCCTCTCCTCTATCGCTGTCAGCACTTCAACATAAGAGAATATTATACCGTTTGTCGGGTCAGTTTCGACAAACTAAAGCTTAAAAGTCACTGTACATGCATAGTGCATACTGTATTTACAATAATCTGTTTCTGCTTCATTTAGCCCAGAACTTTTCAGACAGAAGTTTCAAACATGTTTTCAGGACAGTAGCATTTTCTAGACATCAGTTGACAGGAATTATACAGCTGAGAGTGTGTGTTTGTGTGTGTAAGTGTGTGTCCTTCATCTTTGTTTTTTTTCAACAGTAAACTCGTCCTCTAATCCAGAGCGATCGAAACAGTTCCTTCTCTGTCAGGTTACGGTGAGCTTGAGTTCGAGTCCATGTTTAAGGTCCTCTATAAAAACTGCTCAGTCCTCTCTGTGCCTTCGGCCTTTCCTGGCCCGATGTCGGCGTCTACGCCTGTCACGGCGGTTGCCGTGGTGATGATTGTGATGGTGCGCACTCTGACTCTCTCTCAGCCGCCTCACCATCTCATGGTCCTTGTTGCCCAGCACGCGTGGAAGGAACAGCGAGGCCTTGTCCGTGCTGCGAGTTTTAAAACCTCGCCGCGGCCGACCCTTGCCGTTGATGGAAACGTACCATTGGCGTTTAGCGCTGGCTCGCCGCTTACTGCTGCTGCTGCTGCCGCCCCCTGGCGGTAGCGGTTGCTCGGTGGAGTGATGACGTGATGCGTATGTGTTATAGCCCAACTCGTGAATCCGCTCCACAAACTCACACTCTTTGTTGAACACTTCCTGGAGGAAAAGGAGGAGGAGAAGAATCTGTGAGCTGCATGTTTCTGATTCTCTTAAATTTAGACGCGTCAATACATAGTCATGATCACCTTAACTTTTGCATGGCTATTATTGTTTATAGCTGCTGTGATGTTTATATCTACAAAGATGGCGTCAAGTATTTAACTCACCATGCAGTAAACGGTGTAAAGAATACTGTTAACATGCTCAGCAACACATGCTTTAACACATTGTTCTTCTATTGTGTTCGACAGTCCGTCTACACATTATCACCACCTACTGGTCTGGCATGCACATGTGGATTAATGTAACCATTTCTGTTGAGTTGCAGGGACAGAGGACTATTAAGAAACATGGAGTGACAATGATTTTTATTTTTGAAAATGAAGAGGCAAAAAATCTAATTTAAAAAAAAAAACGGAAAAAAATGTGTAAACCAGAGAACAAAGCCTAACTTTGACAATAAAACGCCAAACACTCCTCGTCAAAATAGAAGTATTTACAGCAGACTACGATCATTAGGGGCTCTGAAATTGTCACCTCTGCGGGTGGATGTCAAACACAAAGCTTTGAGGAGTCTGAAACATCAGATAAAGAACAGAAATGTGGACTCACCGAGGCGTACAGCCGTCCTTTATCATTCATGGCCAGATATCTGCCTGAGAAAAGCCCCTTTATGGCCACAACACCCACATCCACCGCTGTGATCTCCATGATGCCTGTTATACAAACACAAAAACAGTTAGAGGATGATAAACATAGATTATGTTCAACTTTTCGACTTTTTTATGACTCTTTAGAGATTAAAACCCAACATAAAAAAGCCACTCTCCACCTAAACCAACTTTAGTCACATTAAGAGTAAATGAATTGAGTTTCCGATTGTGTTGTCTGCCTCGCGCCCCCATTCAGCATGTTTATTGGCTGTTTTAATCAGTGCTTGATTAGTCAATGGCCTATTGAGCGCAGTGAAGAGCCTCTAATGGTCTCTGATTAGATAAATACATCCGTTAGGACAGCGCCTTTGTCCCGCCGGGATGTTAATACTTCCAGTAGAGATTAACCTGCGTGTCAGCGCGTGCGCGCACACACAAATAAAGTACTAACTGACAGCGAAACTGATCAGATAATCACTCTCATTAATTAAAACAAAAACACCTAAAAACACAATTCACGAAAATGTGGAGTCCTGGTCACTTTGCAGTTATTTTTGTTTAGAATAAAACTATTGTCCATAACTGTACCTCTTCATCTTTTCATTAGAAATTAACTTTCACCCTCCTAACTTTTACTTGTTTCTCTATTTCCCTGGAGTGCTGGATAATCTGTGCGTAAAAGCGCGTCGGTACTCACTAAACGGGTTGTTTTCCTCCAGAGTTCCGTCGATTTTCCCGTTCTGGTGGATCTGTAAATGATATTTAGTCGCACAGTAAAGTTTCCTCCGTCTCGGCGCTCCTCCGAGGTGCTCGTACACTCCTCCGCGGCCCCCGGCGTCCCTCCGCTGCCGGGGGTCGCAGGGCGCCTTGCCCGGGGTGCAGTGGGCCCGGGGACTAACGGGATCCGACAGGCTCAGCAGAAAAACCAGCAGAGGAATCATCAGCATTGTGGCATGGCCGGAGAGCGACGACTGCGGCGAAAAAACGGGGAACTCCTGCCCGCGGGTCCCATTAAAGAGTCGGGGCCACAAAGTTTAAGCACATCCGAGACAGCCGCCCCCGAGCGAGCTGGATCCGCTCCTCGCCTCCGCTGCTGCTGTTGCTGCTGCTGCTGCCTGAAATCCCTCCTGCGGGTCTTACTGAGAGCCCGAGCTCAGACTGAGCGCAGATATAAAAGAGGCTTGTGGCGACAATAGGCTGAACTCCGACCAATTGATACAAAGGAAAGGGGGAGGCAAAAGGTATCAGCCCTGTGTGAAGTGAGAGACTGCAGCGTGGATAAAATTACACAGTGGCTGAGCGCGGAACAGCTCTGAAATCTCCTGAAAGAGCAATTAGACATCCCAAATTATAAAGGCGGGCTGAGCCAGCAACAGGTGAGTAACACCCACCTTTACCTTTGCATACACCCTACAGAGAACACAACTTTTAGCTGCTGAAATCAGAGCTGTCAGAGGCCTTTCCCCCCTCACTCTCTGACTCTTTTTTTTTTCCATAAATCAAGATCAACATTTGAAGCTCTTTGACTTGATGTTGGTCCACTTTAATCTAAACTATAAACACATTCACCCCAGTTTGACAGGTGCAGGCAGGAACCAGTCACCACAGTCTTAGGTGAGTATCTGAAGTATCTTGGACCAAAATCTTCTGCCTGTCTGGCACATGTGATGCACAGATCCTCAGAGTTCCTCCGGAGGTGCTGACGCTGCAGGTTAACCTGGCAATCAGAGACCCACAATTGTTCACAGCCGCCTTAATTCTGCTGTATTTAAAGCTCCTCCTGACCTGTAAAGTCTTAACTTAGATGAAGAGAAAAATGAATTGTCAAGTCACACGGTTCCCTCCATGTGCGTTACTCCTGAGCGATGGATTGTCCCAGACTTTTCCCATCCTAATGCCCCGGCTCTGGCGAGGCAGCAGCCGGTGGGCGGAAGAGCAGCAGGCTAAATGACTACTGCCTAAATTGCTTCCATCTTGGTCGCATTATGGTTTGCATTCTGGTAATTAGCACCATCATCTACAAATCTCTCTGCCCTTTGGCGCTGCTCCACCGCTGCTATGAAGGCCTCTGCTGAGAATCCCCCAGAGAGTCGATGGTTAATTTGTCTTCCCCTCCCATACATCACCCAGCTAGCTGCCTCTGTCACTTTATTTACCCCCGTGATCAGCTCTTTTAATTACAAATGTGTGCACGTTTAAGCCTGTGAGACCCCTGTCCGGTCAGACAGCACACCAAAACATGAGCTGGCCGTGTGTAGCAGAGGTTGTTCTCTAAGTGAGACGCTCTTGATGTGGTTAGATGCTGGAAGAGGGTGGAACCTCAGATGTGGTATGCTGTTTCTCTCAGAAACTATTTTAATTACGCTCCCCTCCACGCCGCCCACAAAGCATCCCAGCCATAAGCAGGGCAAGCGCTCCCAATTTGTGATGCACACACACATAAACACACACAGATCCCCACACTGAAGTACTTGTCTCCAGCTTTAAGTTTTAGATTTAAACTTCTGCCATAACGAGTCTACCTCTTTATTTCTATCTCCACCTTTCCCGCCTAGACGACGCACTACAAACAACTTATAACCAGACTACGACTCTTCGCACATGTGCACAAACTCAGCCAGTAAATCTGAGTCTGGATCTTTTATCCAGATGAGCAGGGTTTAGGGTTAGCCCAATCTGTGACCTCAGCATTGGGTATGTTGCGCTGCATTCATGTGGTGCCTGAAAAATCAGAAAAATGAGTCCCCGGCTGGGAAAATTCTTGAGAACTGGTCTTGGCAGGGTCGTCTGTGAAACTGGTGGTACCCTTACATCCTTCCAGTCTCCTCTGAACAGCACTACCAGACCTACAGGGGTCAGGTTTCACTGATCATGTGACAGGAACGTTATCGTAGATCAGACCAAAGGCTGTATTGATATTTGGCATGTGATGTCACAATGTTCGTCAGCACCCTTTTGGGTAGAAAAAGGGACACCTTACTTTATAGATGCTGGTGCTACCACCAGGACCCCCCCAAATTACAGTTGCAGAGACTTGTGAGCCCACTTTCACTTGAGCTGGATGAACATTGCTCACTGCAATACAAGCAGAAAACTAGGGTCATTGTTTGGCTTCATCCAAAGTAAGCTACTGGGTTTTTCATATTTCATATTCCCTTCCCTGCCCTCGAGGAGCCAACCCCCCACTTTTGGAAACCACTGTGCTGTCAGTCCATGAATTCTCCAGCCATGGACAAACTAAGCAATGATTATCCTGTCTTTTACAGTGAGGTGTTCGGACAGGCAAATATACGACAGCCCTACAATAAATGGACAAAAGCTTAAGGAAAGTATGAATTTGAAGTTTTTATTCTTGACGAACTGGTCCCCAGGCAAACTGGTTCCCAAAATTGCAGGACAAGTGGTTGTTGCGTATTCCTGTCAGTATTAGCTATCATCTACCTCAGTCACAAAGTCTATCACACATTCATATGTATTAAAGGTAATTTTTAAGAATTTAAAATCCACATTAAATAAGTTTTGAAAGAGTTTTAAGTCATGATGTTATGAGAATAAACTCATGAGAAAATATCGTTGTGTAGTTAGTAAAACAGGCAAAATGTTACAACAGTAAAGCTGTCATTTTACAAGATTTAAGCCATGTTGAAATGAGAATAAAGTTGTGTTTTAGCCACAATCTTACACGAATAATGTCACTGTAAAGTAATTCATCCAACATGAAGTCTGAGCAAAGTCATATTCAAGAGTAAAGTCATCATGTTACGTGAATAAAGTTCATGATAAAGTGGCGGTTTTGGTTTGGGCGTTTGGTTAAATTGTACTTTTTTTTACCAAGACTCTGAAAAGACTGAGCAAAAAGCTGAGACCTGTGATATCCTCCCCTTCAAAACAGCATACCTAATCCTGGTGGCTAATCCTTGACTAAATGAAGTTGATTCTCATTACATGACTTCATTCCTGTAACATAATGACTTTAATCTTGTAACATCCCGGTTTTAATCTCAAAGTTTTGTAAGTATTTCCTTAATGTGGCCCAAATACTCAGTTGTGCATCCCATATTCCACTCAGTGAAAACAATTTTCAGAGAGCAGTGTGTTACTGTTCCCGGCAAAAACTGTAAATGTATAAAAAGAAAGAATTTGAAAATGGGGGTGTGTTAGGATCTTTTATCACGGTAAAGTGAGATGGATCTTATGACTGATAAAGATTACAACCTCATGTTATTGGGTAAACTCAACAACCATCATGCTTGAGAAACCCGGGAGTGTAAGAACCAGTAGGATTGTATGAGCATGGTGATAAAGCTGGCCTTTGCAAGTTTCTCTACATACGCCTGATTGTGTCAAATAACTCTAATAATAAGAAAATTGATTGAAAGCTTCATTGACAATTGAGGCTCCTGCAGCGTTTGATTGGCAGAGTAGAGGAGGATGGACAAGAGAAAACGTAAGAAACATAGGAGGCAATGAAGTGTATTCCTGATTTTCAGCATAGTCATGGTGGGGAAACTTTGTAACCACAGAGTTACAGGACAATTTTGTAAAGTCAGCGAAAAAAGTGAATAAATCATGCAAAATCTATGTCACATCACAGAATGAATTTAACTCCTAATGTCAGCATGGATGGTTTCCACCAAGAGTGATTGAGGTAACTCACAAGTTTGTAATATTAAAGTGAGGTCATGTGAGGTCCTTTCAGATGTGTCTGTGGGGATGGTGGTGACCAGGTAAACCAGGAGCCAGTCAGAGATCGAGAACAGACCATCAACACCAGCATAAGCATTAACTGCTGCCCCAGACACTGATGTTAAAGAGAGTCACTCTATTTGAGCAGTATCTGCAGTTACAAACTTGTTTAGTTACAAGTTTCTGTCCAAGGGCTGGTGACGTGTATAAAACATGACTTTGAACTTCATGTGAGCTACATGTTACCAGTAAGTGAGTGACCCGCCGTTTTCACATCGTTAAATTACGCATACTGCACATAACCATAATAAAAAAGTGGAGGACTTGTAAAACTATTGATCTGGTATAATTTGTGTTAAGTACCCGCAAACTAGCCAAGAACTAAACAAAAACTAGACTTAAATGGACTCTGCAGGATGTAAGGACTCAGACTAAATCATAATCCTGTGTACTCACTTTGATACTAATCTTGATACTAGTTTTCACTCATCTGCATCATGCATGTTGATATATCAGCAAACTCAGGACCTGTTGATTATAAAATCATTAAAAGAAAATCAGTTTAAGCCTTTCAACAGCCTCTGTGAAACTTCCTGTTTACAGTGAAGCTGAGATTCAGAAGAACCAGATGGTCGGATGCTCCTTCAGGGGAGGTAATGGACCATGAAAGGACAGCATTTCTGGTAAAACATTACCCAGAATCCTTTGCGTTGACTGCAACAAAATTTCTGAGAAGTTGGCATCCATTCCTAGAGAGAGACAAAGTCAGACAATGATTGCAGATGGATCAAACATTCAGTTATGATAACAGTGAATAATGATCATTGGTGTTTTGGACCTTAAATAAAAGGCGAGCCCTGTATCCAAACTATCAGAATGTCAAGAACCAGTTTGGCCGGGGTCTCTCAAAAGGACTTCTTACCCCCAATTTTCACCGCATCCAGAATGGCTCCGATCCGGAACGGCAGCGATTTTCACCGTCTGCCAATTCCTGCTGGATCCATTGGTAAGGCGAATTTCATGGCAGATTACAGACAGTGGTAATTGTGACAACTCACAAGAACCCGCGGATTCATATGCAATTGTGCAGTAACGAGTTGTCTCTGTAAAGTCAGCCACATAACCATATAAGCAGTAGATTGTATCCCTCCAGGGGAGGAAATCTACTTCTAGACTTATAAAATCAGCATCCTCTCATACATGGTGTCATGGGGGTAAAATGCTATAAACCTTTCACTTGTTTGTCCCTACCCGTTTGCATGGTGTGAAATACGATCCGCCTGAAACACGTTTTATTTTGAAAAGAAGCCGGATGTTTTATTTTGTGTCTGTACCCGACTTCCTTTCCAGCACAGGCTAATCTGTGCTGAATTTGTCCAGCATGCTTCGGCGTCTGGAAAGAACTCTCGCAATCAGCTGCGGAGTCCGGTGATCCGCCA